ATAATTAATAAATATAGCAGGTATCTCTTTTACTTCCGATCATGATAGTTGTATTTTGACAACTATGATAATGCATTATTATATAAAATCAGTTGGTGCATACATGCAGTAGTTGAGTCTTGTTTATAATAAAATATATTTAACAAATGGCTACCTAGGGAATTAGACATTTTTCAATTATTTAGTGATTATACGAATATATTATAAATATGAGTTCAATTATTGTAAAATAAACGGCTAATTTTGTATAAATATATATAGAACATTTAACCTAGGTAGTTAAATTATATTATTAATAATTACATTAAAACTTATCTGATAAGACGCAATGACGAATAACAAGTAAAAGTAATTTGCTGATTCATAATATAATTTTGATAGTTAGTAATAACTAATAAGTAATAACTAATAAGTAGACGTAGACCTATTTAATGAGTATCACTAATATTTCACACGCATATCGCGATCTATAATATTCATGGAAAACCGTCGAAATCTCATGATACGCGTTCAACTTGATAATTTATACAATTCATACAAATATATTATTATTTTTATGATGAATGTTTTAAACGAATGATGAAATGATTAACATATATTTATATTTTAATGCTGAATGTGGTTTTTATTTTTTGCTATTTCATTTTTAAAAGGTTTTTAGGTATTTTAGGTATTTTCTATGTATGATTGTACATTTTACTATTATATTATAATGTATACCTAATGTGTCACGTTATTTTTTGGATAAAAATGTACAATGACATTTATCTTAAAACTGAAGGAACATTATATTTGTATGATTCTCTAGTGTAATGATTTAGGCTTGGAAATGTCAGACAAATTATTTTAAATATTATAAATACCTATATTATTATCTTTTAAGAACGAATCATTCAAAAAGTCCATTGAAAATATGTAATTATTCAACTCAAATCTTTTACAAAATTATCGGTACTGTAGTAATCAAAGGTGTTTTTATGTAAACATATATCAGACAAATTATTGAACGATATTTTGGTGAATTGTTTTCCCTCTGTCTGTGTGACAAATAAATAAGCATTAGTGTTGGTGAGTCTGATCTGGACATACTATCAGATGCGTAGGCACATAATACAATTCAAAATTGTTTCTCACTTTTTTAAAGTCACTCGAAAATTCAAAATGATATAAAATATAATATAGCCTGACAAATTCTGCAGGACTTAAGTTGGGTGGATTTTAATTTTTAGTACCAAATTGTATTTACTACAAATGAAAGTATATTATGTTTTAATCGAGGACGTTTTCAAAACTATTAAAGATTTGTACTATAATACAACAACCAAGATATAAAAATACCATTTATTCGTTCAATAATATTTCAGTAAAAAAACAAACATTATAAATCACTTCGATTAAAGGATAATTAACTTGTTGTTTGAATATTCAATGAAAAATACATACATGCGTTATATAATAAATAATAATATAGTATATTTTCGATTATCTAACATACAGATATACTTCAATTTAGGTGCATATTTATGTTTTAATCAGTTTTCGGCAAGTGGATTAGAAAACTGTATTCGTTCACGTTCATGTTCAATTCCTAGAAAAGGAACTCGTTCGCGTTCTTTGAAAAAAATGAATTCGTTTATTTGGTCGTTCATTTAAATGTTTTTATTTTATTTGTATGAATCGTTTAAATATCGAGGAAACTATAATAGTATTGTTGTCTTACGTCGAGCCGTGCCCACTGGAATTCCACGTGTTTTATTTTCATAATTTGTAATCAAATAATAGGAATATTATAATTTATAGTAGCAAAATGTTATTATATAATATTACTGATCAATATTTATTAAATGGTAAATACATTTTAACGTCTTACAAACCGTTCAAATTCATTAGAAATATAAACATTCACGTTCTAATTTTAAAAAACTAGTTGAAAAAAACGAAATGACGTTCAAGTATTGTGCGTTCATGGACTGCGTTCTTTCCAAACACTGGTTTTAATTATATCGCCGGCTTGAGGCAAAAACTAATCTACGCCAAAACCTGAAATGTTATGAAATTAAATTGTAATCACATATAATATACGATTATTTCATTATTCAATAATAGAAACATTAGAAACATTTTAAAAGTATATTATTAAAATCCATAATAAATTAATAGATTTTATTTACGTTGCATTTGCATTTACATTAACTGAAAAAAAAATGCCAAAAGTCTTAACTGTGTGTTAAATATTATAAGGAACCATATTATACAGTTTTATAGGTATAAGTTGCAATAAAACGTTAATTTATAGTTATTACAATTTTAATTCATTAATGATAATAAATATTATTATTATCGTGTACATTTATGAATTAAAATTAGTTAATTGGTTTATCATCAGAGGAAACAGTTGATCTTTTTTTTACTTGTAAGCAGAAATTTGATTTTGACCTATTCGTATGGATATATTTTGGTTCTTCAATGCGCTTGGATGTTTTCAAAACTCTTTGCTGCCATCTATGATAATCGTTCTTACTACTATTATATATTATAAATAGTATTTATAATCAATGATACTACATCACTTACACTATCAAGCTGTTATGCGGTTATGATCTATTATGTATGGTCAAATTAATGTCGTAATTTATGATTGTGTAAAAAGTAAAAATGTGATTATCGAAGGATATGCACATCGAATCCGAATAAATTACATTTTTAATAGCTAAAATTAATTCTATAAATCGAACGATAAAATGAGAATAACACTAAAAACTTATAATGATTTACTATATAGCTCATTATACCATACAATTAACTACGAATTGATATATTATTTGGTAATATCACTGAGTACTTAAAGTCCTACAACCTAACATCCTGATACCACCTATAGGCTATAATGTACTTACTTACCATAATTAAAATGTTAAATATTTGATGTTATAAATATGTAATAACCAAAAATATTACTTTGTTTTTGACAAGTGAAACTGAATAAACGTTATGGATTGTTCAAAATTTCATTCGAATTTGTATTTCATTAACTGTGTTGTTTACGATTTATATACGTGCACTGCACTTGAAAAATGACTGTCAAACGTGTTAAAAACTATTGTTGTATTCGAGTATATAACGTAGGTATGTCGAAGTTTACAGTTCTGGATTTCTCTGGATTTCTTAGTTTACAATTAAAACAAATCTTGAGATATTGACATATTGTGTATAGTTATTCCGTTTTCGCAACATTTTTTTTATTTGACTATTACTATATAATATAGGGCCTGAGACCTTTAGCTCTTACTTATACAAGTAAACAACGAAAAATTAACTACGTCGTTTTGCCGTTTCTTGGTTTTACTATTATTTGCAATCGCTGCTGTCGTCATTGTACACATTAAATTCTAGTCGAAACGGACAACTTGTGCAAGGCACAAACCGGAAATTTAAAAACAGATTTTATTTTCAGTCCCACGAGATTTTGTGCCGTCAGGTTTCTAATCTATAGCTTTTAAGGTAAACGTATCTAAGTCGAAATTTGGTCAAAATTGCATTACTATGTATTATGGCATCGAAAAGAATTGTCTTTTCTTTATAAATTGGTATTGATTGACTATTATTGGTGACTACTTAAGTTTGAGGATTACCATTTTAAATATATTCAGTAACGTCGGTGCATTAGCTAGTTTATACTTTATTTAGACCTAATTTAAACTTTAATTTAGGACTATTATACTGGATAACTATAACTTTTATACTACAAATCGTACGATTACGGTGGAATGCCTTGATGTAAACTTATGAAACTTTTTCTTAAAAAATTTAGCTTTTTAACTGAAATATGGGTAAAATAAAATAATAACCCGAGTTGCACTGTTTTTCCTTGCACAGTTGTACATCATAATTACAGTAAAGTTTTTGTGTGTAATAAACTAATACATCATAGACGGACGTAAGGTCATTTTCTCAGATTATTTAATATAAACCGGGAATTTGAAATAGGTCAATGAAATAAAATTATTATATAAGCATGAAATATTTTGACTGTAGTTTATGTGTGGAAAATTATGGACATTAGTGCGAGAGTAATCAGTTGATCGTTATCGAATTTTTAATGGTAAGCAATCTATTTCTTGGTAATGATATTATATTTTTATGGTATTATACGATATAATCTGTCATTCAGTCAAATGTAACAACCATAAACATTTTTATTGGGTTCGTCCCTTTTAAATTAATAATAAACAGATAAAATAATAATAATAATAATAATTTCATTTTTGCGACTACAAAGTCCGGAAGTCTGACAAAATTATGTATATTAGGAATCATATGATTTTAACTTTGTAAACGTATTTGAAGTTTTTAAGATCTTCACTACGTTGTGACATTACGATATTACTATCTTACACATTCATAAATAAAATCAAAATGCATTATAGGTATGTGAACTTTTTGAAAAAATACAATCATGTTTTCTTTTTACAACTTTGGTAAATTATGAGATGTATGTTTTCAACATAACTCTGCAGTAAGTTAAACATGTTTTCAAAATTAAAAGGGGAACATTCACGTACGCAATTTTGTCATACTATTCGGTATTTATAATAACATAGTCTTGAATTCAGTGAGCGCATTATTGTTATAATAATAATGTCAAACACATCATCGCAATCACTTCTTGATGCTCGAGTGGAAAATATCATTATTATTTACTTATTCAGTACAACAATTACCAAAAAATGGCCTGGGTACTCGATTGTCATAATTTTAAGGATGTTATAACGACTTAATTAAACTATAATATGATTATGCTAATGGGTTAAAATAATGTTTATTTCTTTTCCTATTTAGACTTGAAAAGTCTACCACCTTTATCACGCTTTTTACATTTATTTATTATATCCACATTCATTAAGTGGCAGTGCCCAAGTATTATATTCCTAGTCGATAACAATTTATTATATTACTATCGCCGTTCGATTAACGACCTTTTCCGTTTCTGTCCACTGCAGGCGTAGCATCGCTGGTGACTTTGACGCAATCCGCCGCGGTCATCGGCAACGACAAGCAACAACTTCTGGTAGACGATGAACAGCTGTCCGAAGCCGCTTACGGACGATGCGATGACGGCCCTGTGATCAATTGCCGCACGCTGCCACTGTTCAACTACACTGAATTGTCGCCACCGCCTGTTGGACCCGACGCCGCTGCTGACATACTACAAGATGTCAATTGCCCGTCAGTGCCACCGACAATTTAATATTATTAATTCTAAGTGTTATTATTAATATATTACTATATTAGGGATATTAGTGGTTCAGTGGTGTACCTATATATGATTCACCTATTACAGCCTGCGATATAAGGCCCTATTCACTCCAAACGTTCTACCTAACAAAAGCAAGTTCTCCAGTTTTTTTTTTTGCAATTTACATAATTTACGATGTTGAAAAACGATGATGGAATCAGAATTAATGCGGTTGGACTTAGGTTTTAAGTCTACAATTGTTTTAAGGAATGGGGACCAGACTTGACTATATTGATTAAGGAGCACATATAGGCAATTATATATTATATTATTCTTACATAATATTATACCTGAAAATGACAACGAGCGTATTTATTATTACTGTATAGGAGTTTTGGAAAGTGTGTAAGGACCACTGTCTACGGCTAAGGCTCCGTTTATCATAAGGCGAATATTACAGATTAGCCGAAATGTCAGATCCATAAGACCGATATTAGGAACATATCAAGCCATACAATTGCCTGCGGTAAAACGTACATCCGCGCATTGGGTTATAAATTGTAACACAAAAGTAATGAATCCACAAACTTAAAATTACTTTAACTTTTAAACTATAATTTTGACCTTCAAATTCTGATCACATCTTCGTTTTAAGACGACAAAAAAATAATTGAAGTTTTGATAAAGTTACGAAAAATAAGGGTGTCCGTTAAAGTTTAAAATATATTATATACCTTTTTCATTTTTTCTGTATATTTCCATGCGTAGAAGTTATTATATGGTATCTATTTATAATTTTGGAGATATAATGCCGTATGTATAGACGTATAGTTAAATTGGAAAATTGCAATAATTGATTCTATTATAATAACACGTCGGCGCATAAAAACAATAAATAACGCTATGCTCTAACTGAGGTTTTTCCAACATGAAAACAATGTATTTTTATATGACTTTGTTATCGCGCAACAACCAATAACGATAGTGTAGTATTCCCACGTTTTTGTAATAATTACTTTGAACCATTTATGACATTTTTTTTCGATTTCAACCTTTCTTTTAAAAAAACTATACTCGTCTTGTCCATTGTACACCGAAAAACTAAATGCGAGAAATAAAAGAAATAATAAAAGTATAGTATTTTTGAAAAAGTGTGCTGATTGATTTCATGCTATATACTGAACAATATTGTTGGTCAGTCACTCAGTCGTAATTTTTACGAAATGATGTAAAAGAAACAAGGTTTTATTTTTTAGTCCAGCTATTATAGGAACGTTTTCGAAAAAAAACTGTTTTAAGATACTTACTGCATTAGTGAAACGATACATTTTAGAGTCTGAATAGTTCATTTATAGATTTGAATCGAATATCTAAAAAAATAGAATAAGTAATAAAAAATTAAAAAGTTCATTATGAACTTTTAATATTGAATATACAATACCGTCGATGGAGGTTATGGCTCCCCGTATATCCCCCAGGACTATGCCAGTGATTAGGTACTTATAAAAACATATTATAGTAGTAACTACTAATTACTTATTATTCTTACTTACTAGTATGGCATTTCGAAAGTTGGAATATAATATATGTGCATTTAATCAGTTTATAATTTTGTGTTTTTCGACTTATTGACCCATACAGGTACAAAAACTTGGAACGACATTTTCGGTGTGTGGACGCGTTTACCCGCCGTTGCATGACGCCTGATCAACGGGGAGCCTTCTACTCGCTGTACACCGTTCCGACGTTGGACATGCAAGAGCTGTGCACCGAGGGTAGCCCTTATAGGGAGGGTCAGTAAATCCAAATATCATATAGTTTTTTAAAAATAATTTTGTTGTCGTGTAACATTTCATCACCACGTATATTCCTCCCACAGAATACTTGAAACACGCCGCTTGCTTGCGCACTGTGCACACCGAGTACGTCCAGTGCGGACGTCGACACCAGAATGAGTTAGCCTCCCTAATGGTAGATCAGGAGCAGCATACCGGAAGTGATGGGACTTTGGCTTCGACTGCGTTGCCAATCGCGGGCGCCGAACAGATAACACAGAACCTGGCCCGCTTGTGTGGGTGAGTGTAATCATTTGTCGTATTGTAACTTTTATTGCCGAATGAGGTCTCGTATGTCAAGTAAATTATATTAAAATGTGAAACTGGACAATTTGCACATAATGTAAAATATTATAATGGAATAAATGAAACGCGTTCGTTAATTTATTCATTTACCACTGCATGCATTTTAATTCTGTATGAATAAATAAACGCATTTCATGTCTTGAAAGTAATAATTTATATGACATTGCTACGATCAGTTTTAACAGCGCCACAGATATCTTTATATTAACTTTATTTTAAATACTTGCTCTCCTAAAACTGTATAGCCATGTATTGTAATTAACAATATTTACTATTTACATGTACAACATGTACTTAACAATTTAAATATTCTATAACTTTGTACTCCTAGTCAATACATTAATAAATAATAATTTTGGCATACGAAGTACTAGAAGCATACTTTGAATTTAATGTATTGGTATAATGTATTTATGTAAATATACACATATTTTTGAATATTATTATTTAAGATGTATTTATTAAAATAACAATCGCTATTCAGCTGTTGGTGCATTTTGATCAATAATAATATGAAAAAATACATGCATTTTAGTTATTTTGACAGTATAGTGTAATCTTTATATATATAATTTAATTCCTATTTACTTTACAAGTGAATATTTTGGATTTGTGTACATCCATCATTGAAGTACACTATTAGGTACCTATTATACTTACTCGGGTATTTTCCGAAAACTTTTTTTATATTAACACATACGTACATCAAGCCCAAATATAAAGCTTTTCATACTCAATATCCATTTGCTAATATCGATTTGTTCCATTTACCAACAGATCATTCAGAGGACATTTGCAGTGTGTGCACGGCATTGTCCGGGCCACTTGCGGCCAGCAGACCGAAGAGTTCGCCAGTCAATTTCTTAGTCAAATGGCATCCTCGCTTTTGGTGAGTATTTCATATATCATACTAATTACATATTGTATAAAATGTAGATAAACATCAAATTAAAAATAGCTGTTTGTATATGTAAATATCACGTTAAAATTCCAAAATAGTATGTTTAACGATGCGTGTGTACAATAAAGTAAACAATAAAATATGGGTTATTGTTATTTACTTTAAAATTCGGCAATATTATGCAAAATAGCAACATTGTCGTGTAGGTTATTGTTATATAAATTATTATAAGAAAAAAAATATTAATAGTTTGTAGTTGGTAATGGTAATTTATATTGTAGACAATACATTTTGAGTTTTTCCTTTTTAATGTAAGTTTCGGTGGAGTTGCCTATACATAACTCCTTAAAAACTGGTGACTAACACAATGTTCTTGTATTTTATTTTGTTATTTTTCCTAGGTGGACTATAATTTATTGACACATGCAATGAAGAACTTAGTGTTCACAGCACGTTGTGATTTCTATACTCATCGCATTTAAGAGGACATCGTACCCCCATAATATGTTGTCTTCTTCAACACATAATATACCAAAATGTACGTCCATCAGTTCCAATTTTGTATCATTAGCTTAAATTTCAGAGTGAACTGACCTATTATCAAACTTAAATGTAAGAACATTATCTGTGTTCTCTAGTTGGTTTTTAAAATCATTTGATTTTGAATGAATTATGAACATTTTCGAATATTAATATTTTACATACTCATAGTCATAACTCACTTAAAAATTAAAATATTGAAAAAACAAACGAGAGAACACAGATAATGTTCTTACATCTAAGTTTGATAATAGATTAATTCACCATAGGCATTTCATTCTAATATATTTTAAGCTAACAACACAAAATCGAAACAACTGATCGTACATTATGATATATGATGAGATACTAAGACGGAGACAACATATTGTGGGTACGACGTCCTCTTAATATGTATATAGGAAATACATAAACTTTGTATTTTGATGCTCCGGCAAATCCACTATTACAAAATGGAATTTCATAATACCTAAATTTAGTATTTGGTACTATAATAAAGTTGTTCTCAGTTAATTATAATTGTCGATTACATATTTATTATAGTATAGCTAAACACTATATTAATTGTTACATGTAATACAGTGTTAAGTAACTTCTGTATAAATTGACTAGAAATAAAACAGTAATAGGTTAGAGTTTTTTTTGTCCTTGGCCCACAATCGTCATTCGCCGTCGTACACATGAGCACATTGTGCGTTACATAGAAATTAGAAAATATATGATTGTAATTAAGTTATTGGTATAGATACCTGGTTACTCGATGGATTTTATTTTGATTTCCATACGCTCGTAGAGTTTATGACTATACTTACCTATTATAATTAGGGTTGAATGTAATTATTTACTCACACTGCAGAAAAGTAAAAACGATTTAATCATGGCATTAACGTTCTGCTTACTGCTAGCCACTATGTATGATTGCCTACCCTGGGCCCCTTGAAACGGTAAATAATTGGTTGTTTTCCTAATTATAACATTTTTGTGAGTGAGTCTGACTCGCTCTTTGAGGTAATTCTTGCCTTTACAATTATGAAATGGTGTTGGATAATATTATAATATGCATCGTATCATTTGCAGAACATCTGTGATAAGTACGGGAACGGTGCCAACGGCGGCGTGTCTCGGTCTCCGTCCTCAAGTGCCGCCCGGATGACCGGAACCACGACCAAGGGGCTGGTTGCTTTACAGACAGCGATCGTTATGGCATTTTCGTTCCGGAATTGGTAAAGAATTCTGGCAGCCATCAAACATCCACTACGGGAGGACGATGTTCATTTTAAATGAAAACAATAAACGCCACCGGTTTCGCCATTACATTTTACTGACCGCACGCCTCCTCGCCATAAAATTCTATACCTACCACGATTATTCTTGCCTACTCTAGATCATAACTATATAGATTATTATTATTATTACTATTAAACTATTTTCACTATGTTATGTTTATTAGGTATTAATTTATTATCGTTACTATTATTGCTATAATGTCATACTGTGTATAATATGGAATGTATTGTGATGTGTATTATTTCGGGAGTGTTAATTATTATTTAATATTATTATTAGGCATATTATAGTTTGTTTTGTTTGTTTGTATACGCGCAATATTGCATTGCAGTTGAAGTTTTATTAAAAAAAATCTAGTGAACAAAATAAAAATTTTATTTTGCTTGGTTAATATTGTAATATATTTCGATTCGTGTACCTACACAAGTAACCTGTAATGTGATGTGAGGTTTGTAAATATTATTTTAATGGAAACAACAAATACATCACATGTTATACATTGTCGCATCATTAAATTGCTTAGACTTTGAAGAAAACAGAAAAATAAAAAATAAATAATTCCAAGCTATATTTTTTTCCAGAAGATCTAGCGTTATACGTGTAAATGTGAGATTGTTTTACGATATCACTTCGAAATATTAATACAAACATTTTTTTTATGTACACCGCAACAATTAAAATGGGACATAGATATTGTCTTGACCGGTGGTTTGCAATATTGTATATGTAAGTACAATAGTGTAAGAACCTGCATTGAAAGCTATGTATTTTTTTAATGTATATCGATATAAAACAATTCATTAACACTTATCTATACAAAAGAACAGGTAACAAGTACTTATAATTTTATTGATTGCAATAATGATTTAAAATTTGTATAAGAGCATAGACAATAGCCGTTGAAAAAAAATATGAAAATTCTTATGACATCATTAAACAACCTAGTAACAATAAAATATGAAAAATAATAGACCCGTTTGAAAAAGTAATTTTTTTGCAGAAATATATAAAATATATTTCTACAGTTCAACCCCGACAGTCTAGCTTTTAATATCACACGAACACAATATTTTTAAATAAAGTTAGTCAACGAGCAATGTTGTTTTTGCTCATTTGTATAATATTATAATATAGCCAAGGGGTCACAAAATGGGGACCCGCTAGCTGCTTGTGTCCCGCAGTCAAATTTTATTCGGCCCGCAGACAAGAAAAATAGTAAAACCAATAATATTATTCGTTCTAGTGTCATTATTTAATATTTTATTCATTGGTTTTTTTTATCGATTTTAGCATGTTTAGGCCTTTCAAAAATATTTATTGGTGACCCCTGATAAAGGTAGGTATAACGTAGGCTAGGTACCAAGTTCATTGCTTATTATTTCATTTATTTTTTCTTTGATCTTACACTTAAACAAAATACCTCTGTTAATTTAAGAGGACGTCGTTCTCGAATACGTTGTCTCCGTCGTAGGCACGTACGATATAGAAAATTTTCGTTCACCAGATTCAATAGTGTGCCATTACTTTTGATAATAAAGTGAATTTACTAGTAACAAAATTTAAAGGCAAGATTATTAACTAGGGTCCTACGTAGTCTTTTATTGATATTATTACCATTAAGTTAGTTATGAAATGTACAGTTTCAAAAAGGTAACCTAACCCACATTACAAACACATCCATCAGGTTTCATAATAGGGCGATTTACTATAATTTTCCATTTTTCTCACTAACCTTCAAACTAAAGGAGATCTGCTGAGCGTACATTTGGTATCGTAATAGACGAACTTGTAAGGCGGAGACAACACATTTCTGTACAACGTTAAGAACAACATTTAACTACAGTCAATTAAAATAAAATGCATGATTATAAAAATTCCAATAACAAATCATAATAGAATAAGTGTATTTTACATAATTTATTATATTATGCTTTTACAGATGGACTAATGATGTTAAGATTTCTGGGAACTAATTTTTTCAATTTAGTTTAAAATGAATGTATCTAACTTGTATGGCTTGTTGACCACAACAATTTTGTTAAATTGTTTTTTTTTTTTTTTATCTCGATTTATATAGGTTCTTATAATCATAGGCGTAGCGTGGTGAATTTTTTTTGGGGGCTAGGTATAGCCTTTTTTATGGTATCAATGATTACAACGATTAAACGAGCAAAACGTCTATAATGATTCAGGTACAGAACATATATTCTACAAATTTAACTATAAAAAAATGTAAAGGGACAAAACATAAAAAAGACTACAGAATCACATTTTTAAGTAAAATAATAAAATATAAATAAATAATATACCATAGATACATCATATTATTATCAAATACATATCTTGTATTTGAATTAAATATATACATTTAAACATTTTAAATAGGAAATTATTACTACCCATAGTATAAGGTTTAAACGCTTCTTTTTTGGACAAATATATTAAGAACTTCTTCAGAATTAATAATATGAACTAAGTCTCTTTCAATATGAAGTAACGATAGATTTGAAAATCATAGAATTTCTAAGCCATGTTTTTATTCGCCGCATTACTGACAATGATCTTTTACACGAAGAAGAACTTACCTACTGGAATTGTAAGTGCTAACTGTGATACCTTATATAAATTTGAATTATTAAATAAAATATTTTTTGAATATCAAAATAAAAAATAGAAAATGTTTTGAGTTCTCATATAAGGACGTATAAAACAGTAAACTTTCACACAATTCACACTTTCGGGGGGGGGGGGCTTAATAGAATTCTGGGGGGTCTATAGCCCCCTAAGCCACCACTATTCTACGCCTATGCTTAAAATACTACATAGAATGATAAGGTAACCATAGGATTTCTTCTATATAGGTACATGTTATTGTCTATTTACAGTCGGTTAATTTACAATGTTTTGGTATAGTACAAACATAATTTAACTACGTTATATTAAATGAAAAAGTTCAATATACAGAACAACATTTTATACACAACAAACGTGGTTAAAATATAATTTAAAAGAAATAAATCCATGCAAAATTGTACTTACTTGGACAGGATCTGGTTGTCTCGTGTTTCCATCAGCGATGTTTTAAAGTATACACTATACAGTATCCTTAATTATGTTCATCAGATTATCAAAATAAGGTGTATACCTACGACAGTTATTTTTATTATAAACCTGCAGGTCAAGTGAACAAGAACAGCTTGCCAATCGAAATTGATTATCCAATTAATATTTTATCAATCAACTAACAATCACGTAATCAATACTATTTAAGATTTTAAAAGTTTGAACTTATTACGTTTCTTATAATTACTGTAAAATTGATTTTTAGACTCACATAAACTAGAAATTCAAATTTGCTTAAAACAATATCTTTTTTCTGACCATCCAAACCATTACTTAAGTTGTATTTGGCCTATCTATCTGTAGAGTATAAGCACCGGAGTCTATTGGTGGCACATTTGTAGTATTACTAGAGAGGAAAGCATTAAACCACTAATAGTTTATTTACTAAGTAAACTAAGTAATATAGTTTAAACTCAGTTCTCCTGGGTTTGCAAAACGTAATAAAAATCTTAGTAGGTACCTAACCAAAGTATTATGTAAGAAAAAAATGTAAAAATGAACAACATTGTAAGTTAAATAAACTTTTAATGAAAGCGATTTAAAATAATTTATAATACAGAAATATTAAAGTTATTTATTTTAGAATGTTTACAATGTACAATGTCTACTTATATATATATATAAACAAATAATGTAAGTACTTACCTAGTAATGTGTTATACTGATGTGTTCCTTACGCTATTTATAGGTGTTTGCATACCAGTGTAAACTGTTTAATAGTGAATGTTTTTTTTTTCTGGGCCCCAAGTGAAGTGAAAAGCGCAGTGCGGTTACTAACATTAAACATTTATTGGAATTGTCCACTGAAATTAGGTTCTCTGGATTTAATCAAACCTTAAAAAAAGTTTGGAGCAAGAAGTCGCTTGGTTATATCAGTGTTTCCTAACCGATTAGGATCACTGGTTGGTCCGAAAAACTAATTTTTTTTTATATTTCCGTATTTTTGTTTCTTCCAAAAAACAAATGTTTTAATATAAGATGATTAATAAGTCTCATATGCTGTCCTGATCTTGGGGTTTAATTTTTTACATTATCAAGTAATTACTGAAGTAATGGTTTATGATAGAAAAAGTACGAAATAAAATTTTTTGTTTGTTAATGTTCAAAAGAGACGAATTTCAACTCCTAAATTCATATTTTGTGTGAGACAATTGTAAGGAAGTTTTGGTTCAAATCCAAAAAAAAACGTTGCATTTATTCGTTACACAAAATTTTTTTTTGACCTGCATATATAAGACATATTAATGTCAAAAAGTCTTGCCAGTTTTTCTTAAATTGAGGGTGGTGCTTGGTTACAAGTGCCTGTAGGCAATAAAAAAGTAGGGAAGTACTGGGATATACAACAAAATTATTGTTTTTACCTCTAAATAATAAAGTTAAACAAATACATTTTAACTAGCTCAGTGATTATTCGAAGAGTACCGACATCCGATGTTTGTATCATTATTATTCAAAAACCATTTACCGATGAGATGAAGTTTTACACCACCTTGTCACCGGACGTTGCACATGTCTTAAGATTACAACTAATTACACTTTATAAGAATATAAAGTTTGAAAAAAACAACTATCCACAATTATATTTACCGAGTAAATTATATTTATTTCTTATAAAATTGCTTTGCGATTAGACACGTTGATTAATATAAAATAAAATTATGGTTAAATATATAATATCACGACAAAATTGTTTTTATTTTTTAATAATAGTAATAGTAGGTATACACCAGTATAAAAGTTCTTCATTATTCTTAAAATTTTCGACAACATTGCTACTGAACGACAAGCGTGGACCCAGGGGTGAGGGGGGGGGGGGGCTTAGGACCCCTTTTTCGAAGTGTTATAAACCTAATTCGTGTGTATTAATATATAATATGTCTTAAGTTCCATACATTTGAAATATAAATAAAATTGTTCTTATTGTTATCAAATCTTGTCCACATTTTTTTATAATATACCAACATTAATTTTTTTCTGAATTATTTAGCCCCCCCCCCTCACTAACGATATTTAGATCCACGCATGTTTATTGATAGTACAAATAATAATCCAAAAAATTATAACATAAAAAAATTATTGTTAACTAATAAACATAATAACATAAATATCATTTAAGTAGTTTAGGCAAAACAATTACCATTGTTGTATGCTTACACATATACCTTAAATACAATAGGTACATAATTTAGAAATAGTTATAATCAGGGTTAGGATGTTTATGCACTATAAAATAGCTAAATACGGATAAATTTGTAAAATAAAAGTGTTTAAAAACATTTAATTAATAATTACAGTTAAAATTATATATAAAATTCAAAGTTATCGCAGTTTTAAGATAAATATGATTGTTACAATCGACCGCGAGCTGCATAAAATATTGTATATGCTTACCTATATCTCAAAATCGTAATATAGAATTCTTGATACGAAATACAGATATACAAACTTGGATTCATTTTTAAATAATTACGTTTACGTTTATGTTGTTGTTTGTATTTTGTATAGAAAATTATAAAAAGTCGAAATATGCACCTCTTATATGCTAAATTTCAGAAAACATACTATCATGTACATGCAAAATCAAATGTTGACATTCCAATAAAGAAATCATAAAACTAATCTCTATATAAGAATGCATCATGCATAGGCAACCTACAAAAATCAGGTGAAATCATAAATATCCTAACCCTAGTTATAATGATCAAAATATAGATATTAGTAGATCAAATGATATATAAGAAGGAAATATTCAAGTAAATTACATTTAATTGCATTTAAATTAAATATTTTAATGACATACAAGATACAAATAAAAGACATCATTTAGTTTTTTTTACATAAAACAATTAAAATTGTGTGGTACCACACTCCATGTATTTAATCTTTAAAATTAAACAATTAATGGTTTTTATTCAATAAGTCTTTTATACCTATTTACAATTCATTAAATCTATTTCGTTCCTTGAGATAAGTTACGAATTTTCACAATAATATATCAGAGTACTCCATAATGCATACATTAACACAATTTATAATAATTATAAAAATATAATTTCATTCAATTATATTATTCCCTTAACAAAACATTCAGTCGTAGGATAAAATATTTTAGTTTTTAACACACGTTGAAATGTTATATAATATTTAAAAAAGTCGAAAAAATAATGAGTTCTTTTAAAATTAACTTATAAAAAATAAAATAAATTTTTATACTTATAACAACCTAAAAATTATGATGCAAGTGATTTTTGAATTAAGTGTCGAAAATAGTTTTATCGAGCTATACATAAAAAAATAATAATAGCGTCGGTGCACAAAGCATAAGTAAATACTGAAACTCTAATTAACATATTTTTTTTTTTAAAGAAAAAATTCTGATATAGCACCTGCGTAAAATTCACTACACGATGGAATGGATAAAAAGTAGTTTAAGACGCAAAGTAGAAGTTAAACAATTTTCTATGGATACATAGAGCAAAAATATTTTTTCGATGGGTTTCGCGAGAAAGCCGATCTTACCAACTCACTAAGCTGTGGCGACTGTGGCTATTCGGAGAGAGCCGTAATCTTGAATGTTCCGGTGGTATATTTGTTGAACCAAACTGCAGTTTTAGGAATTTTTGGTAGTACACTTCCTCCGAGTCAGGTTCACGATTTTGGTATTCTTGAACACGTCGTTCCATCTCTTCTTCCAGCTGATCAATTTGCTGTTGCTGACAGGCGACCTCCATGAGAATCAGTTGTTGACGACTGTTTGACAACAACACCTGCTCCTGAGCGCTGTTGTCATCTACCTTCCTGATGTCATGCGACAATTTTGGCGATGCACTGGGTGGTGTTAGGTAGGTGGTATCGTCGTCGCTGCCGCCATCTACATCGTAGTTTTCGGACGATGGCATCTCCGGTTTGTCGGCAATGTTTAAGAAATTGTTCAACCTGCTGAAGGGCGGTAACATTTTCTGATTGCCGAAATAACAGCCCCAGATATCAGTAAAGGGATCGTCGTTCAGCCCATTGACCTGAGTGCCCAAATCTTGGCCACGATCATCTGAAAAGTACATGTTGTTGGCAGACGTTGAATCCGTAGCAGCCATGGTACAGGTAGCCACCAGCGGGCCGAACGGCTGTCGCCGGTTGAAAGTGGGCCGTAACAGTGGTCTAGAGCGTTGCACAAAAAATCCGCGAGTCGAAGTGGAAGTTTTAAATGTCAACATGGTATCGGGAAGCAACTCGGGCAGCGTCTTGGTGGCTTCGTTGACCACGGCAGAAGAGTTCGTTGTTGTCTCTGGTGCGATGACTGGCAGAGAACTCATCGCCCGCTTTCCAGCGAACGTTGGCTCCGCGGATAATTGATCGACAGTTGTCGGTTGTTTGCTGCTTAATGACATCGTTGGCTCTGAAGTAGACGCCAAACTCCTCGTCTTTTTCAATATCATCGTTCCTCTAGTTCTGGCAGAAGTCCCTTCAACCACCGACCTCGATGATCTCGTTTTTACCGCAGAATTAGTAGTACTGGTCGTCGGACCAAGCAGTTTATTGATCGCAGTAGTCGTGGAAGAAGTAGTCTGCGTTTCAATAACCGTCTTAACCGTCAGTACGGACAATTTATTACTCGATTTACTGTCTGCAATAATTGACTGTTGTTTTAATACAGACCGCCGTTCGTTGGTGTGGTCCGGTTTGTCTAATGTCATAACGATAAATTTTGTATCACATCTACCGTCGGTGATAATAGATTTTTGTTCAGATCCTGGTTCCTTATATACATCATTAATATCTCCTTGTGCGTATGCAGGTGTCATTGGATTAGCTATAGTTGTTCCAATCACCGGCGTCCGACAATAATCAGGAAATGGTCGAATTTCATCGTCAACTGCTATGGCCGCGGCAAATGCATCTCGACGGCGCAATTGAAGCGTTCCGGCACCGCGACCCGCCTTCAAATGCCGTTCCATGATCATGGCTTTGATGAATTGTTCACACGCGGCCGTCACGAGTGAGCACGCGTCAGCTGTTACGTCCATCGGTGCCGGAATGGTAGGGCACAGAGTTCGCGTTACAGTCACAGTGCGCTGCTCTACATCTGTGATCGTTGTCGTTTTTTCAACTGTAGTTTCGCTTTCGTTACCGGTTTCAATAACTTTGTTGGTGACAACATTATTTTTTGCATCATTCGGTGCTGCTGAAAACATTACTGCGGGAGGCATTGGTTTTGAAACATTACGTTTCCTTGATACTCTAGGCCCAGGTACAGTAGCGTTGACCAATGTTGGTCCAGTTTGGAGGGTCAGCGTTTTGTCAAATGATAATGGTGTTCCAACTGCCGACTTCGATTTGTTAGTTTGTTGGACTGAAGGCGGTGACAATGCCATTGACGCAGACCTTTTGATCGGTCTTGGTTGTATAAAATTATTTCTAGATACAGCAGCTGCCTCTGTCACAGGTGTAATGTCTACGGCTGACTTAGATCTCTTGGCCGGTTTGACTGCTGGAGGTGATAAGTCCGATATTTTACTAGTTAAGGAGGGAGAGACATATTCTGATGCAGATCGTTTGACAGGCCTAAGACGTTCTTCAAGTTGACTAGGTTTTGTTAAAGTCGGTGATACGTTGATAGTAGAAGTATTGGTAGTTGTTACAGCTGATTTTGATCTCTTGTGAGGTTGGGCTACTATTGTTGAGGTTGATATTTTTGTTTTCAGCGCTGGGACGGCAATGTCTGTCGTTATTTCAGACGTGAGGATTGGTACAGATGAAAATGCTACTGATGCTGATCTTTTGGTAGGCTGAACTACAGAATTAGATTGTTGTATTCTGCTGGAGCTGGCTACCATTGTAGCTGACTTGGATCTATTATGAAGCCCAACTGATTGCGGTGATGAAGACAACCCTACTACCGCTTTTTTGATTGATGAAGTAGAACTTGGGGTCATAATTTCCATTGACGACGGTTTTGCTATGGAAGTTAGCGAAGTAGACCTTTTGTTGGTTATTTGTTGTTTTCCGTTACTATTAGAGATAGACGAAGTGGGTACAGTGGCTGACACGGATCTTTTTATCGAATTTGTCACCATGGGTATGGGCTTTTTTCTTGATGACCTCGACATTCTTGCTGGTATGGTAGACGGTGCTTTCGCTCCCGTGGTCAAATGAGACGAAGAAGTAGTGCGTGATTGGATGGCAGTATTTCGTGTTATAGCTTCTTTGGTTACCTTGCTTAAAGTCATTAGAGTAGGGCCAGATGCCCGTGCACAACCTTTCCAAATATGACCATTACCACATGCAATGTTTGAAGAGGTTTCCACAGTTTTCTCTAACAAACCCATGATAGCAGACAGTGGTGTTAGCGGTGTGTTTGCTGATTTGATATTTTCATTGTTGCTGGTGTTGTCTACGTTACTGTTACTATTACCCTTAGCTGTAGACGCCATATCACCAACATGTTTATATATTGATGCATAGTCAAATGGTATTCGTGGAAGCGGCGGAGGTATATATGACGCAATAGTGTAAGCAGCCGACATGGTCATTATAGTGGTCACGAACCGCCCATGAACTACTTGTTCAATAGTACCTTGAGCAAATCCATGGTCACGGAAAGTAGGAACCGCGGGTCCACGAGTTTCCAACGATAAAGTACGATTCAAGCGTCGAAACCGCCGAACCGTCTTTGAAAGTGCTAATGGACCTATTCGACAACGGTGGTTTGACGTAACAATTTTACTTTTATTTACATTTTTAGTATTTTCGGTTCCACCATTGCTACTCCGGGATTGGTCTATTGACTTTGTCATTTTCGTATTTGATTTTTCAATAGGTGTGATTATTGGGGTAGGTATTTGGCCAACAGCAGGCTGATGGTTTTGGATCATTGCCATCGGTGTTTTTCTGATAACACTCACAGCTGCTTCAGTCAATTTGCTGATGACTGATATTGTCCTATCAACACTATTTACGTATGTTGGGTCTATTACACCACCCATCATTTTTATTGTATTTCTACCACCAGGCACAACATTTATACATTTACTACCAACATTTGTAATCATTGATGATGTGCACTCAACAACCGCTACCTTTAATATTTGATTGTTGTCAACAGATGGTTTATTAATAATCGGCGATGTCTCTTTTGGTCTGTTGACAAGGACAGCTATCTGTGTTGGTCTACTAACAATTGTCGTATGTACCGATGTTCCTGTCACTTCAACATCTTCAATGTATATTTGTTCACTGATTAACGTTTTATTATCTTCATCCTTATTTGATTTTAGTTTGTTGAAATCTTCACCTTCTATTTTCCTCGTTTTATTAGTTTCCTTCAAATATTCATTCGTTGTTTTCTCTAAATCTTTGGTTAAGTCAATACTGATTATGTTTTCTTTAATTTTAGAATTCATGGCATGTATTTCTGATTTATTTACAATATTTTTTATTATCGGTTGTGTACTTGAAAGTGGTTTTTTTTTAATAATTTTAATTGTTAATGGTGATTTTTCTGAAACTTGCACACCAAAGCTAGCTTCGTTCGATGACTCAGTGCTAGAATCAGAATCTAATTTTTCGATATCGTCATCAGAATCCACAAGATTAATAATAGGGATGCTTTTGTCAATGCCAGTATTTTTAGTTAAGGCAGGCACAGCTCGCTTATAACTCACAGAGTTTAACGGTGATAAGGATCTCTTTTTGCTAGACGATTTAAGTCTTTTGCAATTATCATCAGTTCCATCTCCAATACTGAGCCGTCTTTTTTCTTGTACTTGATCATTAGAACGGTGCACATAATTACTGGTTTCAGGGTTATGTATAAGATGTTCTGAAACAAAAGCAATTGACTGTTGCTCACTAGATGCTGACGGTGTAGTTATCATAGGGAGACATGAAGATTGTTCTGGCATCGGTGGTTGTTGAAGTTTTAATAATGTTGAATACACTAATGACTGCTGTTTTGCCATCTTTGGTTTTTTCAGTTTAAATAACAATGAATAGGTGGTAAATTGTTGTTCAATATCTTTCAATAATGAAGGGCTTTGCAAGTTCAAAAGCGCTGAATAAGTTGAATTCATTTGTTCCGTCATGGACGAATGTTGCTGTAGTTTGATCAGTACGGAACAACTCGGAGATTGCCGAGTTGTCACAGACAACATAGGATGTTGTTCTGGGCAAATCAATACCAGCAAGTCTTCAATTAGATCACGCAATCGTTGTTGTCGCCAATTCAGGTGTTCCCGGATCCGTTGCAACTGTTGCAATGGACACTGGGCCATAGAGGTTGAAGCCATCAAAACTGAAACTTCATTATTTTGGAGAAGTTTTTGTTTTTGCTGTTGGCCACTCAAATGTCTGAGATCTAACATGGATTTAATTGAAAACTCTTTCCGTCTTAACTCCTCAATATCATCCAATTGATGGCATAACCAACTTCCAGGCATCTGAAGTGAAAGCTGCCACATTTCCATCAGCGGTTTTAGTTTACTGTGAACGCCGTTGAGCTGCTGTTTCAATGCCAGGCATTTTTCTTCCAACAGTTTCCTTTGTTGATATGGTTGGTTCACTGATGATGTTGACGCAGTTGGTTGAATCGGTTGCATTGGTAGTTGTGATATTAACATTACCGAAGACATCCTCGATTGATCTATGGACGCTAAAGGTCGCTGCGGGTTTAATATAACTGTAGAAGTCAAAGATTGTTGTTTTACGGTTGATGGTTGCAATGGTGGCAATATCAGAGAAGTTATCAAAGGCTGTCGAACAGACATTATCAATGTTTTTGAAACTGAAGGTTCTATTTGTTTGTTAATTTTATCAGGATGGATTTCGTTTAATCTATCCAGTTGGCGCTGTAATAAGGACCGTTGATTATGCAGCGAATACGCCATTTTTCTAAGAACCAATTTGGTAGATTCATTTAGATTTTGCATTTCTGTGGTGTTAATGATGACATCTTGCTTAGGCACCAATCGCTGATTTTGGTTCCGTAGTCGCTTATTGCGGTTTGAGTGTACCTGGAGTATTCTGTTTCGTAGCAGGAAAATGTGTCTTGAACTCACAACAGGTGCCTTAACTTTCGTTAACAGTTGACTTCGTGATAACTGTATCCTTGTAATTTGTTTTTGCTGTTCTAGTGGAGATTTTATTTGTATTTGTAGTTGATTTTGGTTATTTTGTTGTTTTGAACGCTTTTGTGATAGTTGATTTACGGCTGCGATTTTTTTACTACGTAGTTGGCGAATATTGACTGATTCTTGGTGTTCATAGGATTTTTTTGGTTGATTTTTATTGGTATAGTTCAAATTTTGCGATAGTTTAAGTGTTGACCGTTGCTGCTTCATCGTTTTTTTGGATTTTTTCTGTTTTTTCTGTCCTATTGGTGTTTTCTGAGATCGGGTTTTTACGGCTTGCTTTTGTGAAAGCTCTTTTTGACGGTTTAACATTCTTGATTGTTCTGCCATGGACTGTGATTCTGAAAGTAGCATTTGCTGCTCAAGTTGTTGTCGTTCAGTATATCTTAACGGCCCTCCGTTAAGCTGTTCTAAAGCATTAATTAAATTTGGATCCTTTATTTGCATCATCAAACGCCCATTAAGTTCCCGACAAAATTGTCTATTGGTTGCCTTATATGAAAATAAATTCTTTAGTTTTAATTCCCATTGCTTTTGGTGTGCTTTACGTATAACTTCTAACTGTTTCCATCGATTACTGATTCCCTTGTGCTGATCTTCATACAATACTTTTGTTTCTATTTTATGTCTCAGCAGATCATCATCAATGAACACTGGATGTTGATATTTATCCTGTTTTTGGCCAACGACTCTCGTATCATTAAGTGGCTCATCATTATCATCATCGATAACAATTATTGGTATTTCTGGTTGTTGTTGTCGTATATGGCCCGCTGCACGTAACGTATGTGCTTGCTGATGGTGTACCGGCAACGCTTGAAACGGTGTTCGTTTTTTCAGCTGCTGTATCCGTCTTTCACGTTCTAGCCGCTTTTTTTCTTTTATGCATTGCAGGTGTCTGTCATAATTCAGTAGTAATTTCACTTGTTGTTGTTGCCTATCTATCATAGCCTTAAAATGTAGGTCTACTTGTTGATCAAGTTGTGATATCTTGGTTTGTAACTGTTGCAGCCACCTTTCTTCAACATTTGTCATCATGTTTAATAAACGTGGTGTCAACCACTTTTTAAGTTTACTTTGGTTAGTAAATGTCGTTTCATTTTTCGGGTGAACGTCTATGACAGATGCAACTTTTGTGCCAATTTGCGGTCTAGTCACCTGTGGTAGATTACCAAGTGGCATCATTGCTAGAGGCGTTAGTTCTTGATCAGCTTGAATGTCAACGCCCGTGACTAACGGTGATATTTGCCGTTGCAGACCAATGCTTGCCCACCAAAGTTGCGATCCTCTACTCTTTTGTCTAATTGTATCTAAATTAGAGGCGTCGCTAGACATTATCTCGGGTCTAGTCGCAGTTACACGCTGTGTTGTGGATTTGGAACGCTGTTGTTGCCGAATAACTTTAATTACTCGCAAATCTTTCTTTTTAGCGTTTTTACGCAACAATTGATCACGTAGTGGAAGTTGTTCGTCGTAACATAGAGTTGTTGACACTTGAAATTTACTAACCGTCCAACAGTACTGAGGCAGCTGCTTCTGAATAGAGGTACGTCCAACGTCAGAATTTTGTTGCTGCTTGTCTTGTATTTGTTGAGTCTTATGTCTGTTCAGATGTTGTTGTCGATTACCTAATAGGTGTTTTTGTTGTTCTAATTGCTCAATTCGTCCAAGTCGCTTGTATTGGTCCAGGCATGTTTGTCGTTCCGGTAAATTTTGCTCAATATGCTGCAGATTTTGTCGTTTTAATATTTGTTGTTCTGTGAGATTTGGTCTTGCTGATATTTCTGATTGCTTTATTTGTTTTATTCGTAGTTGTTGATACATAGGTAGTTCTCGTTCAAGCCGTTCTCGCCCATACCGTCCAAGCCTCCGTTTTTGTTGTTCCAACGAACGCACTGATTTTTGGTCATTATTACTGGAATAGTATTGCTCAATCAATTCTTGGGTCCGGAGTAACCTTTGTTCTTCGTCCATCAATTCATCGTTTTTTGGCTTGTCTTCGTATGCGGGCCATAAGTCACACCAGTTTTTCAGATCATTTTGTTCCACGTTATTAATATCAAGCTTATTAGAAACTATTCCTTGACAACGGGCTATGTCGTCAGAAAAAAAATGTCGGTACATTTCTTCTTGCTGATATTTTATTTTTAACAACAGATTACTTATTTGTTTCTGTACTGTTTGTTCTTGACTATTGTCAGTCAAATCGTCTAGTAATATACACATATCGTTAGTTGATGCTACATGTTGTTGCTGTACGGACGGATTATACTTAACAGTAGTCTTTTCAATCATATTTTTCGGCGGCCGAAGGTACTGTTGCAATTGGATCATATGTTGCAACTGTTCATTCAGAGGTAAAGTATTTACAAGTTTTTGGTATTCGAATACCATATTTTTCATTTTGATACGTTCACATTTCTGTCGTTCAACTTCAGATTTTAACTTCTGTTGCTGGTCATACAGATGGTTCCTTGAACCTTCAAATTTGGCTGGTTTGTATGTCTGTATTTTTTCCTTCATCAAATTCTGTAAGTCATTCCCCTTCTTTTGTATCGGGTATCTTTGTTTAACAGCTGCTTCATATTCAACAGGTCGTTTATTCCACTGCGTCAATGGCGCCTTCCATTGCACAGATCGCAATTCTTCAACGTCTACGCTTGTATCTTGGCCTTTATTTGATGGAACTGATCGCATTATTTTATTTATAGAGTTTTGTTGTTGCACTTGATTGTCAAGGTGTTTTTGTTGCTGTTTTATACATGAACTCGATTTTTTAACTGAAGTAATTTCTACTTGTTTTGTTTCTCGGTTGGTCCATTCCGTCAACGGGTTAGGTTTTCCATTCTCTTGTCGTTCCTGTTGAACTCGTTCGAAAGTCTTCCCTTCTGGCAATTTGTTTGCATCTTGGCGACGCTTTCGTTTTTCTGGTAACATTTTAGTATCGTCAAATTTTCCTTTCTGCAGATCCCGCTGTACTACAAGTTCAGTTTTAAGTCCTTTACTCAATTTACTATACATTTTTGTAGATTCATTTTGAACCGGATCATTATCATTCTCCATAGTTGTTAGTTCCTGAAGCCTCTCAACTTGAAGTGTACGGTGAGAAGTTCCATCATGAATTTTGGAATTTGATTGTCGTATTGGTTGCAACCGAGATCGAACGCCAGGTGGAAGAACGGCCCCGGCTAGCATCCTATTTGTAGGCCGGGGTAATTGGTCCATCCGAAGATCATGCAAAAGCGGAGGAAATGGAGGTTCGATATATGATGATCCAGATGATTCTTCATCTGATGAATAATAATCATCATCACCACCATAATAAAAGTAATAATCACTTGATTGTTGATTTTCTTCTCCGTTTTTAGTTTTACTAAAATCTTCATGTTCTTTATAGTTAGTTTCTCGATTCATGTCCTGGTGTATGATGCCTACTGGAGCTTTTTGTCGCCTTGATTTCATTCGTTGGGAAAATGGTAAATTTGGTGAAGCGACTTCTTCCATTTTCATGTTTGCCTTATCCTCTTCTTTATCTGAACTCTCCTGCTTTAGCCGCAGGCGTTCATCTTGGGCTCGTTGTCGGCGTTCTTCCTCATCACGTCGAATACGTTCCAGCTGTCTGTGTCGATCTAACAATAACTGCTGTTGCTGCAAGTATCGAGCTCCGATTGTAGGATTTCTTGGAGTAGTAATAGTTTTTGGAGGAGATGATGGCAGAAGTGGCGGCGGTGGTGGTGGCGGCATAAGTTCACTTGCTCGCCGATCATTATCAACTTTACCGGAAGAAGACACAGTACTTGTAGTGGTAGCACAAGCAGTAGCAGCAGCAGCAGTAGCAGTAGCAGCAGCAGCAGCAGCAGCAGCAGCTGCAGCTGCAGCCGCTCTAGTTTTTCGAAGCTGAGTTTTCTTTGATGCAGCTAATGCTGCTTGAGCCGCCCGAGCAGCAGCATCAGCTACATTGACTACACTTCTTTTATCTTTTGGTAGAGGTGGTCTTATCCGGTTTCTAGTATCCCCTAAAGTATCAAGTCGAGTTTGTTGAGGACATTTATCTAACAATAGTTCACAATTATTGATTCCTTTATTATGTTTTCCTTGGTTAACTTTGTCTAGGTTGTCTAAGGGTTGTCGCCCTTTGGTATTTACATTTTTCGTGCTAGTGGTAACCATGGATGCAATTTTTTTTGAAGTACTATTATTAGTAGTTGCATTGGTTTTCACGAGACTATTATCGATTGCCTTGCCTTTGGCAATAGACACAGCATTGTTTTCCTCTACTTCAACTTTGATATTTTTCTTGGTCCTGGCCGCTTTTTTTTTCTTTGTTGATTTTGTAACGGTTTTTTTCTTTTGGGTTTCTGCTTTTTTCTTTTCGGTTTCTATGGCTGCTGTTTTTTGATGTTCCTCGGCATCTACTTTTTCTTTTTCAGCTGCTTTTCTGACTAGCTCTCGGTCTATTTCTTCCTTGATGGCAGCCAATTCATGAGCTCTTAACTTTTTTCGTAATTGACGGATCTGTTTTCGGTATTGACATGGTTTATTATCCGACACTCCGCAAGGACAGTTCTTATTTCGGACCTCTCGGACATAATCAGCATGATTACTTATTTGTAAGCGCTCCTGCTTGGTTACTTGAAGCAACCTGGTGGTTGCCAAGAATCGTTGTCGGTCACGCAATAATCGTATCGTCAAAGCCGTTGATTGGGGACGATGAGCTCGAACATTTAGTTTAGATTGATGGCCAGTAGTTGTAGTTTTCAACTGCTTCTTTTTTCCATGATTTTTCTCCAGTAGATTTACTTCTTTCCAATGTTTTTTGAGCGAATTATTTTGAGGTTCTTTTTCATTATCATTTACATCGTCATCAGTTATATCATCTTCAATAGTAGAACCATCTGTATGTAGGCGCTCTTGAAAATCAGTATTTGGCTGTTCTAAGTATGATCTATCAAAAAACTTCCGTATTCGAGATTTTAGGTCATTCTCGCGAATTTTAAATTCCTCCAAGACTTGACGCCGTCGTCGTGACATACGAATCTGAAGCCGACGCAACCGTTCGATTAGTCGGCCTTCTTGATTGGCGAGACATCGGAGACGCATTTTAAGTTCACGCAACAGTCTTGAACATCCGTCACGTAATCGCACCATTGTAGCCAACTTTTTTTGTTCTTGTAACCGTTGCCATTGTAATCTTTTCGTAACTTTGACATTTTGTTTTTTTGGAAACCTCTTTTGATACTGTATTTGCCTTGCTCTTCGCAACTTTTCTGTGTTTTCGGCCACCTCCATCAACAACGGGAGCAATATGCACGATGGTGGCTTTATTAAGACTGCCGCAGCTACAGCATCAGCAACTTTCTTTTCCTCTTGTTCGTAAAACGACAATTTCGGTGTAGGGTGTTCGTTGTTTTCCACCAATGAAGACATGCATGGCAAAATATTTGGCCAGTAAAAATGGGCCAAACTGCCAGGCTTATCAGGGTACCAGTGGTCACTTGGGCCTCGCACTTGTGGAACATCTGCATAAGTGTACAATCGTAACGGAGATCCACTCTCGGATACACCTTGAGAACGTGCCTTTCGCAGTTCTAACCACTGACAATTAAGTGGCATCCACATTATTAAACTGGTGATTAATGCGTTATGCAACGGAACTCGTTCTGCTAAAATGATCTTAGCTTCCTTCTTTTCAATATTAATATTTAAATCATCGTTTATTTCAGCCACTTTTTTTAATGTGGGCGATTTTTGAGTTGACGAATTAATTAAGGAACCATTATCTTCTTTAATCTTTGATAAGGTGGCATCCTTTTTGGCAGTTTTTTTCGAAGTCATAGTATTACTGGTCTTAATAGATAGATTTTTGCTATTGTTATCATTATCAGTGTTTTTTGTCATAGCCACCCATGAAATATACATCACCTTGCGAATCTCACGATCAAACTCTTCCCGAGATAACCGACTCGCCAGCCAGTTTCTTAAAATTTCATCATATTGAGCTTGGTACTTCGGCCCTAAAACCACTGTTAGTGCGTCGTACCGTTCCTGAACGAGACGTTCAGCTTCACGAAGCAAATTTCGTTGCTTACGTAAGGTGTCATCGTCATCATCATCCGATGAAGACGATAGTAAAAACTCTTTTTCGCTAACAGGCACATTTTCGTTATTATTTCGTTTAATACCATGTTGATACTGTTTTTCAGCAACAGTATCTTTTTCTATATGCCGTAAATGTTCTCGTTCTTCTGATTTTTCCGGATGATTGATTTTTTTCTCTTCACCTTGTATTTTCTGATTTTGATTTCCATTTACAATTATCGATAAACGGTTTTCTGGAGATGCCTGTTGTCTGAGTAGTAATTTTTTCTGTAATTGCTGCTGTTGTTGTTGTTTAAGGTGTTGCTGTAATAAGACTTGTTCACGAAGCTGTTGTTGGTGCTTCTGTTGCAATTGTTGCTCTTTGAGTTTTTTTTGTTGTTGTAGTTGTTGCCGTTGTTGCAGAAGAAGGCGATCTTGTAGTTTCTGTCGCTGTTGTTGCTGTATCTCGAGTTGCTTTTTTAACTTTTCTGGTTCTGGTTTTTCTGGTTGTTGCAACTGTCCTACTATCACACCACTACGTTGAGGTTGTTTCAATTGATGTTGTAGCTGATCTATTTCTTTCTTTTGTTTAAGTTTTTGTTGTTGTAGTTGCTTGTTTATTTGTTCCTGTGAATGTTTTTGGGATGGCTGTATGTGCAATTGCTGTAACTGTTGATGGGACTGTTTAATATGTAGCTCCTTTGCCAAATTTTCATTAGATAAGTTTAGGTTATTTTGCTGTTGCTGCGTTAGAGGAACAACAGTACCTTGCGAGAATTGTGGATGTGGCACTTGTTGCAGTTGTTTTTTTAATATGTCTTGTTGTTGATGTTGGTTTTTTACTACATCTTGTTGTTGCTGCTGTTTTTTTACTACATCTAGTTGTTGTTGATGGTTTTTTAATACATCTTGTTGCTGTTGGTTTTTCGCTACATCTAGTTGTTGCAGTTGATTTTTTACTACATCTTGTTGCTGCTGTTGTGGCGTGGGCTGCAATAATTTATGGGCCAACTGCTTTTGAAGTGTGATTTGCTGTTGAGATTGTTGCTGGTTCGATAATTTTAAAATTTGTTGTTGGCCTGCAATGACGACACGTTGTTGCTGCTGTATTGATCCTATTGGCCGTTGAGTCATTTGTTGGTTAAGGACTATTCCATTTTGTGATGGCGATTGCGTTTGCTGTGTTTGCTGCGATGTTTTGAGTTGACCAATAACAATACGTTGTGGCACTGGTTGGTTTTGCTGCGAAAGCTGCTGCTGCTGCTGATTTGGGGTGGAAGTAACCACACGTTGAACCTGTTGTTGGCTGGTAGGTGTGACGACAACACGTTGCAACTGCTGTGGTTGTTGTTGGATAGATGTTTGGGTAACCACGTTTTGCACCTGATGTGACTGTTGTTGGCTAGTACCTGGAATGACATGTTGTAACTGCTGTTGCTGTATTTGCTGGCCGCTGCTTGTAACAACAACACGTTGCATTTGTTGATGTGTTACAGTGGTCGGAACAACTACACGTTGCATTTGTTGAGACTGTTGTTGATTGTTGTTCCCCACTACGACACGTTGAATTTGTTGTTGTTGTTGTTGTTGTTGTTGTTGTTGTTGTTGTTGTTGCTGCTGCTGTTGTTGTTGTTGATGCTGTTGTTGTTGTTGTTGTTGTTGACCGGTTCCTGTAACGACAACACGTTGCATCTGCTGAGGTTGTTGGCCAGGGTTTGTTACAACAACACATTGCATCTGCTGTGGTTGTTGAGCAGTACTGTTGTTGGTTACCACGCGTTGTGGTTGCTGTGATGATAACTGCTGTTGCTGTGGTTGATTACCCAAAACGACGATACGCTGTGGATAATTTTTATTCTTTAATAATAACTGTTGTAGCTGCTGTTGGAGTAATTGTTGAGTATGAGGAGGGGGCTGTTTTTTAGACTGTTGCTGTGTAGACACTGGAGAATACTGATTATTCTGTTGCTGTATAATCTGCGATTGTTGTAAAGAATTGGGTTTTTGTACGCCCTGTGGTTGTTGTAACGTACTGGGTTTTTGTACGGCCGGCGGCTGTCTTACGACTTGAGGTTGACGTTCAGCTTGAGTTTTTGGTACAACCTGTGGTTGTGTTATCAGCTGAGATTGTTGCACAGTCTGTAGATGTTGCAAATTTTGTATTTGCGACATATTTTGTAGTTGTTGTAAACTCTGAAATTGATTCTGCGATTGTTGTATAAATTGTGGTTGCTGTTGATGCTGTGGTTGCTGACCAAGTTGAGACTGTTGCACTAGTTGTGATTGTAACTGCTGCAGCGGCTGTTGTCGTTGTAAACAAGGTTGCTGTTGTGGTTGAATTACTTGTTGCCGTTGTACAATAAGACAGTCTTCTTGATTTTTATCTTCATACTCATTGTTATCATGGAGTTGTAAAAGTTCAACAATAGCTTGATCTTGATTTTTTTGATGTTCCAGAAGTTGCTGCTGATTCAAATTACCATGTTGCATACTCCGTTGTTTCAAAAAATCCTGATTCCGTATCAACAGTTGTTGTTGGTTGGACGATAGCTGCTGTTGCAAATATTGGGGTTGGGCTTGTAATACCGGCTGCTGTTGCAGAGAATTCGGTTGTGTTTGTAAGAGCTGCTGCTGCTGTTTTAATTGCTGCTGTTGGAGATTAAGCTGTTGTTGTTTTAATAATTGCTGTTGTTGGTGTTGGTGTTGCTGTTGTAATTGTTTTTGCAACATAAGTTGCTGTTGCTGCAATAGCTGCTTTTTGTCCTGCTGCTGTGGCCGTCCAGGATCCATTGTCGTCACAGATGAATTGCAATCACTGTAGCTATAATAGCCTATACATAAACACCTAAATAAAAAATAACAATGTTGGTACTTACGTTAACTATTAAACCATCATCAAAGCTCAAACGTATATGATTACATAGTTGGGATATCAACCAACTTTTATATAATGCAGAAGTTATAACAATAATGACATGTTTCAAATTGATTGTTTATGCTTAGATTTATACAATTATGTTCTACAATTTTAAGCCCATTGTTATTTGTTAACAAGCATTATAAATCAATTTTCCCATTCTTATTTTTAATGATACTATCTAAAGTATTTGTTATAAGTAATTATAATGGGAAACTTAAAATGAGACTAGACACAAAAATTGGTGTGGTGCCTAAGCATTCTAATATATTTTTTTAAATTATTCTAACATTCAAGATTCTAAATAATTAAATTATAATTAAAAACTGAACATAAAAGTTATTTTATTACTATTTTTTTTTTAACCATCTAAAATTGGTTCAGATTTTTTTATAAAATCGAATAGACTAAATAATATGTGTTCAGTAACACATCATATATAATGTACCCAAATCTTGAAAAATATTAGTTTATAGATTTTACAAATTTTAAAATATATTTATTTTAAGTTAATGTATTATAATAACATTGATCTTACCTGGAGCTACGACATCAAATTCATCAATCATTAATCATTAATGACCTTTTCTTTATCAACTTGCATCGTTTAACAAACTAACTAGTTTGAATTTGTTTTTGTGTAAGTACCTACAAACAAAAAATAATTAAAATAAACCAACAAATATAGTCAATAATTATTTGCTCTAAAAAACAAATTATGAATAGTGTGGATATATTACTAATTATATAAAAATCACTGAATATTAAAAACGGATTAGCTAACATAAAATGTATTTTATACTAAAAAAAAATACAAAAAACAAAAGTTAATTACAAATGAAATTGTTATCATTTTAAATCATTCAAAAACAAGTTTAATAAGTATACTAGAGTAACCTAATGGCATACAGGTGGTACGATTCTGCATACAGCGGCGGCAATGGCCAATGAGTGAGGATAGCAGGTGACAATTAGCACTTGTATTTTGCTAAGATTAACATCGTAAAGCAATTTTTCAGCAGTGGCTGATCATTGGAAACGAAAGCTCTCTACAAAATTCAATGAGAGTTAAGTCAGAAACCGAATTTTAATTGGTTCCCATCTGAGGTTACTTTTGTTATGCAACAGAATTTAAATATTTATTTATTTTGATATTATTATGAGCTACATGATATTTCGTTGCTTGACTGCATGACAACAAAGTTAGTAGGCAGCTATAAAACTGTATGTAAGAACTTAGTCAATTATTTATAAAATATATTTATATTGAGATGTACCATAGCTGATGAGATCTAAGCACTTTCAAGTCACACACACACACACACACACACACACACACACACACACACACACACACACACACACACACACACACACACACACACACACACAACTTGTACAAACACTAATATTTTACTAGAGTCAAATTAAAATAAATTATCTTTCCATTAACAATTAAAATTGTCTTCAACTATTTATTTAAGACATCATCAACTAGATTGTTGCATACCGCAACCAATACTTTATTTGGTGCTAAATACTAAAAACACGAGAAATCATGCGATAGTTGTGGTACAAGAGGCTTACATTGGAAACACTAGAACTTTAATGATAATAAAATATAATTGGTAAATATTAGGTATTATTACTTTTTCATTTATAGGTAAGGTAAGTCGTAAGTCTTCTACTAAGCAGTTCTCATCGGCACAGAATAACTGTAGCATAGATGTGCAGACTTAAATCATAAATGCAGCAAACAGATAAATGTGACCCATTGTTTTACAATCGGGAAAATGAATTTTGAACAGCTAAAATTATTAATAGTATAATACACAGGTCTATGCAGTGTTACTGTTACCATAGTGGTTATAAAATATATGATAGTTTGTTTTTATGACTAAGATGGGCATCTAACTAAGATGACATCATCTCCAATCAAAATAATTTTTCATATGCAATGATTTATCATTAAGTTCAAGTTTAAGTATTTACATTTTACACATCTAGTGCAGTCACTCAATAGTCAATGATCATTGTCACTGTCTTTTAAGGTTTTGGATTTCAACATTTTTGGAGATTTGCAATCGAACTATAACTTATTAGATACCGTTGCAAATTGTTTTGTTAAATAACCCGTTTGTTGTAAACTATGAACTACAATATTGCACAAGTATCAATTAATTAATGGAAAATTTACAGTACATTACACTTGACAAATCTAACAAACATATTTGTGTTTGCAGCAACAGAAAAATAACAAAATATTAAAAAATATTCATGCAATTTTTCTGGAAAGTTTAGAGTAAAGCTTTCCAAGCTATATAATATATGATTCAAAATTAAAATATAAATAATTATATTAATTTCGTGTCCATAACATTTCCTGGCCGGTATTTGAGCATGCGTAACCAGTTAGTCAATATTCTTAGTTCATAGTACTGTGGTTTTGTTTGTAACAGAGATTATACATGGTTAAAACAAAATGTAATAGCAGAAGATTGGTATTTAGTAATTTACATCGACATATAGTTAGACACAATAAAATAAAAAAACAACCATAACCGACGAAAGAATAACAGATTATTTTACACATTATCATAAAGAAGAAGATAAACATAAAAATAGTGACGTTATTATTAGTTCTCTCAGCCACCAAATACATAGATATAAAACCAAAAAGCCTGAATTTTCAGGTGAGCAGTTTTAGAGCTGAAGCTCTGAAGGTACATGTAATTCTGGAATAACAAGTCTGATGATTCAAAATTCACAAATTCCCTATATCTCTGTAAAATATTTCATGGATTAGAACATTGTATATTATTTTTCAGTAAGGAATTCATAAAAGTTTTTTTTTTTGATAGCTAACATTAGACGTTTTATTAGAAGATACCCAAGAAGTTTTTCCAACTGAATCAAAAAAAAAGTTAACCAGAAAGTTACGGTTTTTAAAGCTATAGAATGTTTTTAATTTTTATTATTTTTTTTTTAACTATTAAATTTCATTATTTATATAAGTATGCAAGTATGCTAAGATATAACCTAGCTACATGAATATTGGTAAATGTAGGCATAAATTACAAAAATCTATACAAAAAAAAAAATTTTGCTAGCAAGCTTGAGTGTTATGAATGTTATAACGATAGAAAAGTGGTCACTACTGAATAATTCTGGAATGACATCTCAATCTAAATAGGGAGTTATTGAAGATGATGAGAATGAAAGATTGATGGCCGAAAGATATAAATTGCTGGATATATCCCACGGACAACTCATGCGAAGAAAAGAATCAACACTATGCCAAACTTATGGAGAGCCGCTATTGAAATCACGTGGAAACCAGAAATAGCCTAGGAATTTCAGACAGCCTCTTCAAAGCTATGTGCCCCCCTATTGAAGACAACAGCCATAGAACTATTTCATTTCTAAAATATATTGATATGTATGATGCAATTTAGTCAATCGTATGCATTTATTGTTATAGAACTTATATTTATATTGTTGTAAGCTAATAATCTTATTTGTTGATACTTAACGAAGAATAAAAAAAAAATAATAATAATTTTAGTTAACAGTAATTAAGTCATTAAAATATTATAGAAAAATAAACTTGTGGTTTTATGAATTCTGTAAGTTTTATATTGTGTTAGTAATATAATTATCATTAAAGTGGAGTACTAATTATCATTAGTACCAATCAATAATATTTATTTACTAATTTTTCAGATTAATTTAAAATATCCAAAATTGAATGACGAAAAAATTTCATGTTTATTTTTTCCAGGTTGAGTTAGGGTCAAAAAGGTCTACCTCCTACAAAAGGAGTAAATTGATTCGTACACCAACTGATTCAAAAAAAATAAAATCAATAGAAATAATTTTTGCCATTATTATAAATTATTTTATTAATTTTGAAAGAAATATTTGACTGTGAATCAACACTTCGACAACAAAAGTTAATTTGTTAAAGATCTAAAGTTGACATGCTTGTTAATCAAGTTTCATGAGAAACACATGAAATATTTGCAGATCACAACTAAAACAATACATCTGCATTAGGTTGTATAGTTTACTATACTACTGTATATGTATCAAAGAAGATTGCTAAAAATACATCCTGTAAAATTTGGTTTAGCGCATTTAAGACTAATGAATAATGATCAATTAGCTGATTTGTGGGAAGCTGAGTTAACTAACTTCAAATCAAAAGGAGGATTGACCCATAATATGCGCTTGTTTAAATTTCTATACATAGTAGAAGGATGTTTTGCTTAATACTGCAATCAAAAAAATATTTTTGATACTATAGCTAGTTGAAGAAACCTTAAATTTTTCTTTTACATTTCCCTGCTTTGAACATATAATGAAATTGTCACATCTATATTGACTAATTACATTGTAATGGGAATGCTCCACTTCACTTCACTGTTCAAGAAAATCAGAATCAAATAACAAAATTGATCTCCATTTAAGAGAAACTTGAAAGTTTTTAGCTCAATTTATTTAACTTAAATATACATGCATGTCTTTTTGTTTTATTTAGAAGTTAAGTTGTATTATTTATTTAATAAATTCAATCTTTTAATTTTTTTTGTTTAATTTGTTTTGGAAATACTGTCTGGTGGCTGTATCAATTATAGGTTAAAATAAATTGAGAAACAATGTACTAAAATGAATTTATTTGAAATATTTTGACACAGGTTTCAAGAGGCTGAGTTACAATAATATTTTCTATTAAAATAATAGTCTGTTAAAAAAAATATTTACATTCAACAATGAAAAATATTTGTATTTAACTACCAAATAAGATAAAAGTACTATGTAAATAAGTTTTCACATACCACCTTTCATAGAACTTGATAGTATAAAAAGAAATAATAACTATGCATAAATAAATTAGTCGACCATAACTTTTTTGGACCACTCTTTTGGCTGGTGATAGTTAACCTGTATATCTTAAATCGTGGTGTGAACGTTACCTAACATATAATCTTTTGATTGCATAATGGAAACTGAAGGCGGAGTCACAGTACATTTGACGCGGACTCTAGTAACCGCAATCACCAATATCGCTTGAACATAATGTATAGGTAGTATGAACATACAGTGAATGTCTAACACAGCGGTTCCCAAACTTTTACGACCACGGCACCCTTAAAAAATTGTTTGTGTTTCGCGGAACCCTAATGTCTAATCCAACTCAACTACAATTTTTGTAAATTAAAAAAGGAAAATCAATTCCTTAAACTCTCAAGTCCAAATAATATTTTAATGATACTGTTAATGACTTTTCATTATTAAACTGAGTTTAAAAAAAATTTTCAATCAAAAATTTTTTAAACAACAAACATTAAATAAACATAATTTTCTTAATAATCTCATACATCTAACGGAACCCTTGACATTGTCCCACGGAACCCTAAGGTTCCGCGGAACACACTTTGGGAAACGCTAGTCTAACATATCTTATCTCAACCCGCCATTGGTATTATGGTAAGTTAGAAGCTCACATTGTTACTACTTTTATAACCCCCTGTTTAAGTATTATTTGTTCCCAAATATACTTTTGTACTTCTTTACATAATTTATCAACATGCAATGTCATCACTCATTAGTATTCATAAAGTGAGATATTTGCTCATCAAACCACT